GCTCTTCCCAAGTCCGTGTTCAGTACCATCCAGGTAGAAGCTTGAAGTTAGCCGTGGTGGGAATATATTTATACCATGGAAATTGGCAAACACTGCAAACTAGGGCTTCCCCATCACCCCCCTCTCTCCCAAAGAGGACTGATTGTTAAAAATTTTCTAGCAACCACCAATTATATCCCATTGGCTAGGGGTATAATCACAAGGCCTTTCTGGAAGGTGGACTGGAAAATGTAGCCTCTATTCCATGTGGCTGTGCACCCACCTTAGAGAGAGAGAGTGTCCTAATTTAAGAGACAAATGAAACATAGTTATTGAGGGGCAAGTAGCAGTCTTTACCAGTGTTGTCCACCATTTTCTGTTTCTGTGCCTGGAAATATTCAAGATTCTAAAGTCAGTTACGTAACACTATACCAACCTAGCTCGGTGCTTGAAGCAGCCAACTGTGGTTTCTCTCTTGGAAATGAAAGCTGTTGAAACATATTGGTGTTGCAGATCATTTTGAAACGGGGTTTCTTATGAGGTCTTATTTATGCCACCTTTGTAGGTAATGTGAGTATAACTCAGTGAGGCAGAGAGAGCCTTTTTCTAAAGTCACTACCATGAAGAACTTGGGCCAGAAATAAAGAGGGAAGGGAACAGGAGTGTGCATGTTTGGCCGTAACTCTGCGTGGAAGAGCCCAGGAGTTTTAAGAATTCCATGCTGCTTCTTTGCTCTACCTCCCCTCTTCCCTCCATCCCCCCCCCACCAAATCTGTTCTTTTTCAAAGTTTTTGGTCACTTAGTAATAATCGTAATAATTTGCCTCCCTTCTTGTAATTACATCTGTTAGAAAAAGTATTTTCATTATAGGAAGTTGCCTTTCGCCCTAATTGTGTGATAGGAGTTCTCAATTTCCCCTGTGAAAAGATGAGAACACATGATAGGCCATTTACATACCCCATTGTATTTTATTATGTTATTTATCTTTTTGGTATGTATTTTTAATAGAGGGTTAGTCTTGGGCTTTTTCTTTTATATTCTTTCTGAGTTTCTCTCCTGAGCAATGGTACAGCAGGTTGGGATGGGGTGAATATTGAGGCTGCTAAGCTGTTCCCTAAAGAATCCCAGTTGTCTCACCTCACCTGGTGGTGAATATTGAGGCTGCTAAACTGTTCCCTAAAGAATCCCAGTTACCTCACCTCACCTGTTCCTGCTCAGTTGTATGGACTGAGGGCCAGACCCAAAAGCACAGTAAAGTCACAGAGAGGGTCAGAGGCAGGAAGGATGGAGATCGTTAGTCCAATCCCCTCATTTTAAAGATGAGAGGACTGAGGTCCATAGAGGTTAAGAGGTCTCCAGACTTCCACTGTTCTCCAGTTACTCCCTTTGCATTTAACCAGCAGCGCAAAGATAGAAGACTCCACAATTAAATGTCTTAGACTGAGTGTCATCTGAAGACGTAAGGGAAAG